TAGTCCTGTCCCCTACAGCCACAGAGAAAAGCCTATCTCCATCCTCTCTGTACTCACCCTTCAGTTATTTGAAGACTGTTGTCAACTCCCCCCTTAGTCTTCTCTTCTCCAGATCAAACAAATAACCCTCGTTCTTTCAGCCTTTCCTCACAAGTCTTGCCTCCCAGGCCCCTAATCATTTTTCCTGCTCTACGTTGGACTCTTTCCAAACTATCCACATCCTTTTTGAAGTGAGGGGCCTAAAGTAGATGCAGTACTCCAGGTAAGGCTTCACCAGTGTTGAATAGAGTGGCAAAATCACTTCCCTTGATTTGCTTCTGTTAACACAGGCCAGTATGATGTTGCCCTTTGTTGTGACAAGAGCACCCTGTTGCCTCATATTCAGCTCATGGTATACCGTAACCTGCAGGTCCTTCTCTGCAGTACTGCAGCCTAGTCGCTCATTCCCCAGTTTGTATTTGTGCATGCTGTTATTCCATCCCAAATGCAGGACTTTGCATTTGACCTTGTTGAAACTTGTCATTCTGGATCCTGGCCCAACCCTCAGAGTGCCTGCAGCTCCACCAAGCTTGGTGTCCTGCTCAGCCTGGGACAGTGGCAGGTGGGTTCCTCCTCCTTGCCTGGTTCCCCCATATGTTCCCCCCATCCTGGGAACAGCTGCAGGGATGGGGAACCTGCCTGATGCTGCCACTGTCCTAGACTGAGCTCAGCCCAAATGCAGCCTAGCCAGAGCTGGGTAGAAGCAACTCTTGAGCTCCCTTTGCCCCTGGCACAGCAGGGACAGTGGCAGTGGTGGGTGGAGGAGAGGGGGAAGTGGAGGGGATGAGACTTTTCTCTGACCAGGGAGAAGAAGAGGGGGAATTTTTACCCACTTTGGGGACTTAGTCCCCAAGAGCTGCTTCTGCAATATGATGTACCCACCACAGTGAGGGGGACAGGCGAGGAAGGCTGGAAGCAGGGGGTGCAGCCACCTTTGCAGCACCATTTGCTGTCCCACACACCCCTTTGCAAAATCCTGGATCTGCAAACATGTATAACTTTTTTACTACAACCTCCTCCAGCCTCCTAGTAGGAACATACACCAGCTTTGACTGTGTCCCTGAGCAAAAGCTAAATCTCCAGTTGTCCAGAATGTCTGCCCACATCCCTCCCTCCACAGTTTTGCCCCTACTCTCTTCCTCTCTGTATAAAATATAGATGCCAGCTGTTCCCTGAGGCAAAAGTTGCCCAGCAGGCTTCAACCTTAATGGCAGGCCCCTCTATTGTGCATGTTCCACTGTCATCTTGCATCTGCTCAGGGTATAATTGAACAGCTTCTTTCTCCTGTCCACGTGTTTTGTGGAAAGTTTCATAGGCCACGGAAGCAGAGGGTGAGCTGGATCTTCCAGACTGACAGAAAGAACTGTGTTGTCATTTATGTCCATCATGGTTCAGGGAGCCAGAGCACCATTTCTCATGGCAGAACAGAGCTAAGTGTCTGATGGTCCTGGCATCATGGGCTGTTCCATACTACCATATAGTGATATGGGTGAGCTTTCCATGGCTATCAGTCAGATCCTGCAGCACATATGAGAAATCCGTCTTCCTGTTGATGAAATCTGAGGTCTAGACAGAGGGCAAATATAAATTCTTATCAGTGGCCCCAGAACAATGTGGAAGAATCAACTGTACAAAATCATGGATAGATAATTGCCTGGACATTTCAAACCTTATGATGCAGGAGGACAGCATCTTCTTAAGATGAGGACAGCACCCTTCTCTCTGAAAACAACCTCAACACTTAATCTAACCACATAGGTAGGTATTGACTAGCAACAACCCATGGGGAGTGAGCTACTGAATTGTTATGGCCATACACCTCTTCACCCAGAGAGAAGCTCCCATGTAGATAGTGGTTTGGGAACATTTACTGAAAAAAGTTAACACGTCACAAGTGAAATTGTTTAAAATAAAGGGTTAATTTTGGCTTGGAATAAAAGCAAGTTCATTGATATTTGAAATGGTTAAAATTAAAAGGAAATAGAAGTGGAACACTTAGATACCAAGCTTCAGTGACTCCAGCCCAAGTTATTTTCAGGGGGGAGGTTTTGTTTGCAAAATTTTCAGATGGACTTTCCTTCCCAGCTAGGAATTGGGAAACCATTCTGAAATATCAGTCTCTTGAGGATGGAGTAAAAATGTTTCCTATTTAGGTGCTCAGTGCTGCACTCCCATCACTACTTCCTTTCCTGTCAGGAAACAGAGATTTCCCATTGACACTGAGCCAGCTTCACCCCACGAAGTAAACCCTAATCCCTGTTTTATTGCCCCCAGGGATTCCCCTTTCCATGCACTCATGTCCCACCTGTGCTCACCACCCATTTCAGTGATATCCCCAGTAAAGATGGCAAATGTGATCCCAAATTTCCAGACACTTTCCTGCATCCCTTTCTTTGTCTCTAAAGTCCAGCCCTGCAGTTCACTTGGTACTCTTCTTTACAATGGCAACTTGCACGCTGAACATCATGATCTTTGATTTATGGAAAATTTGGCAATGTGTGAGGAGGGAAGAGAGTTTGGGTTTGCTTGTCTGCTTGGGAGAGGGGAAGGGGAAAACCTAGATCCATTATGCTGCAGGTTGGGGGGAGGTGTTGTGACTTCTAGGCTGTGAAGCTGTATCAGATTGCCAGAGCCAGAAAGCAGGTCTAGGAGCTTGTGTGATGTGGGAGAGTGTGTGTGTGGGGTGTGGGGCAGGAATGTGGGGCAGTTGCTATAGCCTGGCGCAGGGGTAAGAATCAGTGGCTAGAGGGTTTGACAGTGGTCAGTAAGGATGGGGAAGAGGGGCATTATAGTTTTGTGTGGAGAGGGATCTAAAAGGACTGGCATGGAGACAGGAATTGTACTGTTCCTTCATGCCACACTTTGGCATAACTCCTGGTACCCAACCAGGGACACATGCAACAGTTTAAAGCTGATTAAACATAAGGGCCACAGACCAGATTCAGCCTACAGAGCCTGGTCATTTTGTCCACAGACTTTTGTCCCACTCTGGCTTGGATGAGGGACCCTCCCATGACGGCAGCCAAGCGCCTGGGTGAGACCCACAGTGCTGGAGCCTCAGCGGTGCTGCAGCTTGTTTCCAGGGTGGTAACCAAGTGTCCACTGTGTTCGGCTTTTTCCCTATGGTGCTACAGTGGCTCTGGTGCTGTGGCAGCTCCAGTGCTGCATCTCCCACTTGGGCACTTGGACTACAGCTACAGGAAGAAGCCACAGTACTGCTGTGACTCCAGCACCACTGCTCTCAATCATTTGGCTGCCAAGCACGTGGGCAAGAGCAGTGGTGCTGGGACCCCAGTAGCATCATGGGAAGAAGCCTGGCATTGTGGTTTGTTCCCACAGAAGCAGTTAAGCTCTCAGGACGCTGGGCCTTTTTCTGCTGGGTGCCAGGCTGGCTGGAGTGGCTGCTGCATGCACTGGATCTAGCATGGGGGGGATGGGCCAGGGGGGACCTTGGGCCCAGTTCAGCTAGTGGGGCCAGCCCTGTGCCCTTTTTCCTGATCCTGCACCATTTCTCTGAGCTGTGGTGCCAAATTAGTTTGACATCCCTGGTTGAAAAGCAGGGCTATGTCCTCTATTGCTCACATGAAAGGAAGAGAGGCTGGTATATGAAAGAGAAAAAATTAAGGTAAAAGGACCTGGGAACAGAAGCTGTCTAGGGATGGATGGCAGGAGATAGGAGGGACATGTTTTAAGGAAAAAGCAGTGGACCAGTTTCCACTTCTTCCTCTTCCCATGTGCCCTGTACTGTCCAATACTCATGCTTTGTCCACACCTAGAAATGTAGCAGGTGCTTCCATCATTTTGTGAGGGACACCATTTCATAGTGGTCTGAATTTTTGCCTTGACAGCCAGCCTAAGTAACGATTTCCTTGGCTTCTCTTCTTTCTATTTATATCTGGATGCCTTATGGGGTGCCGGTACATGTGTGAGGATGCTGCTCTGACATGCTGTAATGACAGTGCTTCGGAGCAAGACGCAATTAATCGATTAATGGAGTCTGCTGGAACGTGCTAATTGGTGCACTCCAGCAGCCTCTGCGTCTCATGTATTCATCCTCCCTGCACTTCAAAATGGCGATGTGGGTGCTTTAACTAAAACTTGTTTAGAGTCATCATTTTGAAGTGTGGGACACTGAATAAACAAGTTAGGGTGCTCTAATTAATGTGGGTGCTCAAATTAATGAGAGTACCCCCCTCCCACCTCCAGAGCACGTGTAAAGATGCCCGTGATGACTAAATAATTCCTTCCTGCTCTTTGCAGTCACGGTCTTGTACAGTCTGAAGGATGGTTGAGTGCCTTTTCAGCACTTGGAGAAGCTCTTACATTCCTTCCTCATATTAATTCATATTAATTCATCCCTGTGATGTTCTATGGACAGGGCCAGTTTCTAAGTAAATTGCACATATACTCACAGCACCATGAGTCAAGCCCCCATCCCTCAGTTCCAAAAGCCTGAATCTCTCTTGGCTGAGCTGCAGGAGAGCTTCTTAGTCAGTGGAAGTGGTTCTTTACCTGTTCTTTAAGCCAGCCACCACAGGGTGGTAATGCACACAAATAAAAAGCCAAGTAGAGACCTTTGGTCATTTTGTTCTCTGAACATCCACCTGTTTGTTGGCTTCCGGTGTTGAGAGGACCAAAACCAACCCCCAGGTTCTCCAGGGTGGACCATAAGAGAAGGGACCAACAACTCTCTGCCCAAGAGTCTTTGCTGCTGCAGTCCCAGATAGGACTGACTGCTTTGTTTTGTTGGTTTATCACAAATTGAACTCAAATCTAATTTGTTTTGGACCCCCACCCTTAATGCTTCTCTTTCCCAACTATTTCCTTTATGTGGGGGTACAAGTTTGTTTCCCCCCTGCCCCTAACTACAGTAACTTCTAAGTTTAAAGATTTTGGGGCCAATCAGCTCAATTTCCAACAAAGCCACTTGATGATACCAAATGTGTGTTTCTTGTTCACAGCATGTCTCACTGATGGAGTCTGAAGAGACCAGTGAGGGAAGCCTGGCTTCCCCAGGAACCAGCAGCCCCAGCAAAGAAAGCCCTGAACCTCTGCCATCCGGAAGGGGACAACATACCACCACTGAGTCTGTCATGATGTGCATTGGGCTTTCTGCCTCTGCCCTCATTCCCCAGGACCCTGTGAGCCTCCTTTCTGCTGAGCAAGCAGCAGAGATGTGGGACAGATCCCCCAACCCTGTGGAAGAAGTGCCAGCAGAGCTGGAACCAGAGGAGGGAGATGTCAGGCACTGGGAAGGATTCCTGGAGCGGGAGGGAGATCCTACAGTACTAGAGACGACTCCACTGGAGAAGGAGAAATGGGTCCAGCCTTTGAACTCTGACCAGGGAAAGTTAGAACACCCTGAAAGCAGCCAGTATTCTTCCTCTCCCAACCCAGTTGTGGGGGTGCCAAGCCCTACCCTAGACACCCATGTTAAATGTCCTCAGGACCAGGCACAGGTCTGGGCATCTCTTGATGCTGTCCCCCAGGTACAGCATGAGGAAAGCTCTGCGGCAGAAACTGTTTGTGATCAGAGGGAACCAGCCACCAAACATTTCCTGGTGTGTAAGACCATTTCAGAGGGTTGTTACAAGACTGAGCCTTTGCATGATGGTATTATGAGGGAGCCCCTGAAGCAGACAGAGGCCGTAAGTGGGATCAGCAATGATCCTTTACCAAGGGCAAAAGAAGCAATAGGTGAGGACCCTTTTCCTGGGACAGAGACAGTGGGCAGGATGACACCCAAGCCTTGTATGGATAATGGTGACAAGGGCCAAGAATTCCAGGGAGGGGAAGATCCTTCCTCTCCACATCACCCACCTCACACTTTCTCGGGGAACAGCCAGGGAAAGACACAATTGACTGGGGAAAACACAGAAGGAGAGATAGGGAGCAATTCTTCAATCTCAGATCAGGGAGTGGAAATGGTTTCTAAGCAAAGTCCCTCTGGTCCTATAGAACCCTGCCCCCAAAAGGAGGAGGAAGACCATGGTAGAGTAGAAGGCAGTAATACTGAATCACCAAGACAAAGCATCTCCCAGGCAAGGACTGCTGCAGAAAATATGGAAGAGGTGGATGAGTCCCAGCATGAGGAGCCAGAGCAGGGGGAGATGAAAGAGGAGCCTGAACTGAAGCAGACAGAGTTGCAGGAGCAAATGCTGGGAGAGGAGGAGCAGCCTGATATGGACTCACCAGAACAGGAGTTGAAAAATGGGGAGGATGGAGGATGGAATAACGTGGGCCAGGAGCCAGGGGGGGAAACAGTGGAGATAGAGGCTCCACTGCAAGTATTGAGTCCAAGGACACATTTAGTCTCCCAGCCCAAAGTGGATCTCCACAGTTTGGGAGACAGCATTTCTTTGGCTGAGGGGATAGGACCAGCCCTTCCTTCTGAGGAACCTGTCTCCCAAGGGCAGCTCCTGTGTGAGGGTATATTGTCAAAGGCCTGGGCAGAAGCCCAGCCTGAAGAAGTGATGTCTGGTGATCTGAGCCCCGTGAGCAGGAGTCCCCTGACACATTCCCACACCTGCCACATCTCTGAGCAACTGGAAGGCCCAGGGATCTCTGGCACTTCTAGCTGCATTTCTATTAGCAGCCAAGACTGTGGAGAAACCACTCAGGATGACAGAACCAGCAACAGCAAGGACTGTCACTGCAGTGGAGACAGGCCAGACCAGAGCTTTGCTGATGGAGGAGATATGCCCTTCAGTGGAGAAGCAATATCCCCCAGAGGTGCAGAGAATCTGGACTCTTCCAGGCCCATGCATCTTTTTTCTGATGCTAAAAAGGTAGAGTCACCTAGCCCTACAGATCTCCATCTTGTTGCAGAAAGCCCAGAGATTCCCAGACATCAGGATCTCACTCCAGCCTCACCCTCAGATCTCAGCGTGGCAGCAGCACCCACTGATCTAACTCAGGAGGGTGGTGGTGAGAAAAGAGCTGACCAAACAAAGCAGGAGATGACTAAGCAGGCTTCCTGTCTGCTGGACGTGGTGCCTGGTGAAGGAGCCCCAGCATCTGCCAGCACAGTAGATGCCCAGACTCCCCAGAGGCTGGTTACCTCTGACAAAGCCCTTCATGAAGAGCCTGGCACCCAAACTTCCTTCTTCACAGCTTCCAGACATCCCCCTTCTGGGCACAGCCCGACCAAGGATGGCAAGTGCACAGAACCCACCCCTTCCCCTGCAGATTCGGTACCCCTGGAATCACCCCAAACACTAGACGGGGCTCCTGCACCATTGACCTGTCAGGAAAACCTCCAGCAGCCCCAAAAGTCGCACTCCAGAATCTTTGTTTTCCAGGGAAAGGAAACAGGAGCAAACATGGATCATGCAGTACAACATAGCCCTTCATTAGATCAGTCTCATTCGAGCCCAGACTTGGAAGAGGCTATATCCAGGACCCTCGAGGCCCCAAACACTGTCTTCCAGCCCTCTGAAGAAACAGTGGTCTTTGCCATGGACCAGCAAGGACAGCCACCATCTCTAGTGCATGACACCAGCCTTCCCCTAGCTCCTGACCCTGATGTTACCCCACTTCCCCAGCCTCCATCCCCTGTGACTGACTCTACCCAGTCCTCAGCCCTTGAGTCTGATACCAGCCCCCCTGCCCTTATACTTGACACTGACCCACCATTGCTTCCCATACCCAGGTCCAATCCATCTCTAGCCTATACACCAGACTGTGACCACTTACCAGGCACTGATCCTAGTGCCAGTCACCCCATGCAAACTGTAGTCTCTGTGCCTGAGGACGACAACCTTGGTTCAGCCTCTGACTTCAACAGAGGTGATGGAGTGGAGAAGCAGCCCCTCATGACCAAGAAAGAGGAGATGATGAAGCTCCATCAAGATTTCAGGGACTCAAGGAGACAGGATGTGGGGGCCACCAGTGACTTGCAGGCAAGCCTGTTGGCTAGGAACTCAGATTTTCCAATGTGTGGAAATGAGGTCTCAGAGGTGTGCTCTGATGACAGCCGTGCAGCGGTGGAAATGCACGATGGAAAATCCCCCCCAGACTGTGTCCCCACAGCCTTGCCGAGAGCCCAGAGAACACCTAGAGACACTCTGCCCAGAAATTTGGTACAACCACTTCCAGCCCTAGCATTCACCAACCCAATCCATTTTCTACAGTTCAGCCCTCCATCCCCACCAACCATCAGGACCCTATACCGACAAAAACCAGTCACAGGGGAGCCACTGTGGGACCAACAACTGGATAGCACCACTGGAGAAGATACCAGGAGCACTCCCACTCCTGCTGCCATTATGAAGACAGCAGAGGGTATGAGGCCATGCAGACATAGGGTGGTCGGGCAGGGAGAGTTGCTCCCCTCGCTGGCTCAGCAGGCGGAGGAAGTGACTAGGCACATGCCCTTGGAAAAGTCATCGAGTTGTCCAGAAAAAAAAGTCATCAGGGTAGAGATGCCAGAGCAGAAAGTCTTGGTTAAACTCCGAGCAAAAAGCAAAGACTGGCACCGGCAGGGCTTGAAGCGGGTCTCGGGACTGGCAGACAGCTTGCATCATGGTGAGTTTCCTTTTCCTTCTCTTCCCGAATTTGCCCCCCAAATTCTAATCCCAGTATGAAACAGTTGTGAGGGGTTGAGAGCACCTATCAAAAATGTTTGGCTGACCTCACCATCAGTATTACCCTCACACAGCTGTGCAAGTGCATCCCAGTCCTGCCCTGTCACCCTCTGATAGCCCAGTCCAGGGTTCCCCACAGCTCTGTTAGTGCTCCCCAGTCCTGCCCTCTCCCGTCTACCACCAACCCTGCTCTCTGGTCTGAGCAGCAAACGCCAACTACACACCCAGCTCCTATTCATCTCTTCCCGTTCTCTGTCCAGAATATCCTCCCACTCTCCCTTCCCTGCTTTCTTCACTTCCTTCTTCCCACGCCTGCCCACAGTCAGAGCTCGGGCCCTGTTCCTTTATATGCAGTCCTCCCGCTCCTGCTTCACAGGAGATCCTCATATGAAATGTAGAAATTCTCATCACATCATTTACTGCCACTGGGTGGCCATACCATTTCACTGCAGTCAGAGCAATAAGCCAATGTTAAGGAAATACACGTTTCCCTCACTTTACGCTGTACATTGTTCCTGGAAAATGATGCATAACTTGAATTTGCATAAAGGGAACCCACTTTACAATGTGACAGATAGGGATAGTTCCAAGACCTCAGCTGTACTGACCCCCAGGCCCATTTTATCACTTTTACAAGACAATTTTGCTACTTACCAACAGCAGACAGTACACACAAGCACAGCTGCAGTGCCAGCAGTGCGGGCACCAACTCCCCTGAGCAGTGGCTGTAGGTGCTGCTGCCAGGCGGCTTCATGGCTCCCAGGGCGCTGTGCTGATGGGGCCAGACTGGGCCAAGCTTCAGGGGCCAGTGCTCCAGCCTGGCCCAGGCACCACTACCCAGCTCAGCCCCCACTCCCCCCTGCCAAAATAATTTTTTCTTCCTCTGCTTATGGTGTCACTGCCCACAATGCACCACACAACACAGCTGACTGCTGGCTTCCATCACACTGATCGCATAAGAGTGAATTTACCTTGCATATAATGAATTTTTGGCATAAAAAGGATCATTGCATAACAGTGAATTTGTGAACCTTCATAAAGTGAGAGAAACCTGTAGTGCACATGCTTCCTGACAATAAGAGCAATACAGTTGGTGAGATTTCAGATATCCTGTCCTGCATGCTGTTGCCTTTCACAGACAGTCTGAGAGCTGTTTAGTGTGATCTGGGTCCCTTCAGGTCTCATACTGAGCCTATGAAGGGATATTTAACAAGAGTACAGTTTGAGACACATCAGAACATTGATCTGTCATAGCTTGAGCCCTGATTTGGGCAGAAACTACAAACTCATGACTTAGTTTCAAGTCTAAATCTTCCAACATCCTGGTAGCCCAGTGGGGCTCAATCTCTTGGCTCAACAAGCCAAAGGAGTGCCCCAGAGCCCATCTGCAGGCCAGATTGGGCCCTAGAGCCTGGCACTACTCCTTTCCTGCCCATTGCATCAGGATTGAGTCCTAGGGAGCTAGTGCTGCCCACTTCCACCCTTTGTGCCAGGATTGGATCCTGAGGGGCTGGCACCACCCTCTCCCAGCCCCCCACACTGAGATTGGGCCCTGGGGCTCAGTGCTCCAACTGGTTCTGCGCATTAGGATCAGGTGCCGAACCCAGTGTTCAGGCCCTAAAGCTCCCCGTGGGTCTGGAGATCTGGCAGCAGGGGAGCAGAGCTACTGCTGCCAGGTGATGCAGTATGATTGGCCAGATCTTGAGCAGCCTTGCACTAGTCAATAGTGTATCTATCTTGTCTGTGGGAGGATGTGGCCATTACCATTATCTTATAGAACCAGATATAAGAAAATGGCTGTGTGAAATTCATAGCTTGCTGGACAAATCTTTTTCCCCCTCAACTCATTTTGTATTTTTTCTTTCACATTCCGCAGGCATTGGGATTCAGGGAAATGTCATACATTTGAACCGAAATGGCTTCAAATATTGCAAACTCATCAATTTTTATCTTTGAAATGGAAGGAGCAACAAAAGTCTCCTTTCCCAGCCCCATGCACTACACTCTTTTGAGTTCTCTGCTTACTTACCTTTACTCTGTGCCCGCTTTCCTCAGTATTTAGCTAAGTCTCTAGCACAGCTGTACCAAAGAGGCAAATATTTCCCCCATTTTAAAGAGGGAGAAACTGATTGAAAGAGTGCATGTGTACATGCATGCATGCAGTTTCCAGGTAGGTCACCCCTGTGGGTTGCATCTAGATCAGTAGAGATACTGGTTTTCTCCGATTAAAAAAAATCCCCAAATTTCGAATTAAAAAAAGTAACACAAAATCCACATTTTTCCATGATTAGAATGAAACACCACTATATATATAGTGTGCAAGCCCAGCCACCTGAAGAAGTGATGTCCAGAGACCTGAACTCCATGAGGAGTCCCCTGACACATTCCCACACCTGCCGTGTGTGTGTGTGTGTGTGTGTGTGTGTGTGTGTGTGTGTGTGTGTGTGTGTGTGTGTGTGTGTGTGTGTATTATAGTGGTGTTTCATTTTAATCATGGAAAAATGTAGGTTTTGGGTTACTATTTTTAATCTGAAAATTGGGAATTTTTTTATCAGAGAAAACCAGGATCATTGCAGATCACGCAGCTTCTCATGAGGCAGATGATCCGCCTCTGGCAGTGGCTTATTAGTGCAGCTACACAAGCTGTTGTATTGGTGCAGCTCCAGAATCCAAGGGTGAACATCGCTGTTCTGCCCACCCAACCCCTTTTTCCCCTGATGCTGATTTGAGTCAACAGGGTCAACCAAAGACCCCAAGAGGGATGATGGGGTAAATGGCAGGGGTGTTCACCCCTGGGTGCTGGAGGCATGCTGACTAGCCCTGCAGGTTAACCTCTCTCAAGCTCTATATGGCCCTCAGGCCACTGGTTGGACATCTCTGCACTAGACCTGCAGGCATGCAGGACTGCATGAACCATTTTTGAGAAGTGTTGGGGACTCACGTCCATAGTTAGTCCTCATGGGAAGCCTGTGGGAAGTCAGTATCTCTAAACATCAAACCTAAGAAGTAACTATTTCTACTGGGGCTCCAGTTTTTGTTTGCGCACCAAAACCAGTCTCTGGCTAGTGATTTGGCCTTCCTGGGGAGAGAGTAGGGAAAACGATCTGCAAGTCAGGCAATCAAAGCCCACAATGGCCAGAGTCCCTACAGAAAAGTGTAGGGCTTCCCTTCATTTGTTGGGCTGTAGATGTGTCTTTCATAATGCTTAGTCAGTGAGCCTTGTGTGCATGTAGGTGCCAAGGATTATTAAAGCCAGGAAGTTTCAGAGCCAATGAGCTCCAGCTGAGTGGAGAAGCCTCGCTCTTTGAAGTAAAAGCTGTAGCTGGGCAACTCATGTTTCATTTGACTACCTGCTGCAAATCAAGCAAGTTGTGAACCACTTGGATATGAATGATCCTGCTTCCACTGTATTACCTGGGCTGGGCCATGTTGTGAAGGCTGGCTCTGTGCCATGTTGCTCTGCTTGTCTCACTTGCAGCAACCTCTCTTGTCTTTTCAGAGGAGGAAGCACCCAGAGTCCAGCCAGTCAGCTCAGAAACGGTTCTACTCCGGTGAGTCTTCCATAGGCCTCTGTGCTTCAAGCAGCTGTCCCTTTAGACTGGGGTGGGCAATTTTTTGAGCCCAAGGGCCACTTAGGGAGTTTTGATGAGCTGTTGTGGGCCGGGTCAGTACCCCATGCCCTTGCCATTACAGCTCACCAAAACTCCCTAAGTGGCTGTGCTTTGTGCTTGGCCAGATGGCTGGGTCGGAGCTGTGGGTGTGTGGGCAGTGGCATTCAGGAGCAGGACATGTGAGCAATTCTGGGATTGTGGGGTGGTGACAGCGTGGGGCTGGGACTCAAGGCAGAGCTATGATCTGCTCCCCTCTACTCCTGCCCACCAAACCGGCGCCTATTGCAGGGATGTGCAGGGAGTGGATTGCAGCTCTGCTCTGGGTCCCAGCCCCATGCTGTCATGGCCCCGCAATCCCAGCCCCGCCTGCCCATCGTACACCACTCCCCACCCACCCACAGTCCCATCTGCCAGGCTGTGAGACCTGCCCATGTGAGTCCCAGCCCCCAGTGGTGGGTTCAGGGCAGATGATCTGGAGTGCCCAAGAAGTGGGGCTGGGTCCAGCAGCGGCAGCTGGAAGGAGCTGCTGTTGCTGGGGCTACTGGGAAGCAAGTCTGGCTGCCATGCCGCCCCATTCCCACTGTGCACCTCAGGGTAGCAGGACCAACTGCGTGCACTACAACCTGGGCTGCCCTCCACACCTGAGCTGGGTGGGACTGAGGGACCCACTGCAAGCCATACAAAATTGCTTGGCGGGCCAGATCAGGACCATGGGCCAGATTTTGCCCACTCCTTCCTTATACCAAGGAGTGATTCTTAAGGGGCCGAACAACAAGGTGGCAGAGTAGAATGCTCTCTGATGCAGCGGCCCAGGCCTCACCTTCATCTTGTGCAGTGGGGACCTCTGCCCCCAAGGGGCAGGAGGAGAATTTGTCTCTCTTGACTGCCAGATTTTCATCATGGCAATTATGGCCTGGGCAGTCACAGTAAGGAATGCAGGCCCCAAGACTGGCAGAGTGAGAAGTCCTGGTTGTATCAGACAAGTTACTGACATCTGGATAAGTCACACCCCATGCAGCATTTCTCCCTGTCTCCTGCCCCCTTTGCTTACTAAATCTTCTCTTCCCCGACAGGGAGAAGAAACCCATAGACACAAGGGAGCAGTTCAGGCACCGACATTCAAAACTGATCAACTCCTGTAAGTACCTCCTGCCTAAGTGCTGGGGCTGAAAACCCCAGTGAGCTTAATTGATAGAGGCTCCAGGGCCTCTTATTAGAGGGGAGTGAACAGAGAAGGCAATATAACGTGTACCCTGCAATGTGATCAGAGATGTGGTGAGTTATGCTGGTGACAGGAGCATTTTAAACAACACAGGCCTAGACATGTTCATCTGTTAGACTAAGAGACAGCAGTAGAATGCTCTCCTCATAGGGAGATTAGAGGGAAGGGGGGAAGTCTCTGTTTTAGTGCGTATGTGACTTGCAGCTGTCTCTCCACAGCAAGGTTACTCTACCAGGAGTACAGTGATGTGGCTCTGAACAAAGCAATTCAGAGCCAGAAGAGAGCAGATTCTTTGGCAGAGGACATAGAACTGAGCTCTCCCAACTCCCCAAGGTTACGGAGGAAAGTGCTCTGTCCACAGGACTCGTATCTGCAGCGCCTCTCTGTTTCGTCCAATGCATCTCTCTGGCAGGACATCCCCATGGTCCGAGGGAGCAGGATGCTAATGAACATGTCCCGTGAAGATCAGAAGCTACAAGAGGTACGGGAGGAAGGCTGGAGACAGGTGGATGGGGAAATTTGCCAGGGAGGGCATCGCAGGGAGATGGATGCATTGGATAGCAGGAATACATGATGCAGGAATGAAGATGGACTAATACAGGTAGCACTGCAGAAAAAGAGAAATGGTCAGTTGTGTGTGTTAAGGACAAAGGGAGGTTTGGTACCAATGTATGTGAGCTTAAAAGAATCTAGCAGAGTGAGGAGAAGGTGCATCAAAGGATGAGGGACAGGTTGGTGGAACACAGAAGCTTGTTTTAAGAAAGCAAAAAGGGGATTGAAGCAGGGATGTAGAAGTATGGTACACAATACAGCAAGGGGAAGAAGTCTGAAGGTAGACCAAGAAGAAGTCAGAGAGGGGAAGGAATCCTAAAACATTGCACAGGCTAACTCACAAGAGGCTGTGATTGCTCTGAAAAGGCATGCAGGAATCCAGTGTTGGCTCATGTGCATACGAGAACCAGAGGACATGGGCAGGAGGATTCAGAGAAGTGGCACATGGGAGTAGAGAGTACAGGAGGGGAGACAAGTATCCTGGGGAAGTGGGGAGAAAAGGAGGATTTGGGGGAAATTTGGGTAATCTAATGAAGGAATAAGAGGGATGAGCATGGGAAGGCCTAGGGAGATCTGGAGCCTCATAAGAAAGGGCCATCTGGGAAAAGAGCACAAAGAAAGGGGGAATTTCTGGAGGGGAAAAGGGACCCTGCTCCCCAACAGGCTCATTCTTCCAACCAGTCAGATGGATAGATAGTGTCAGAAAGGACTGACATCCCCGTTTCTCCCTGCTGGCCTGCCTACCCCCGGCCCTCCCTGCCCTCATTGTTCAAAATGTCCATCTTCTGCCAGCGCTCAGGTAGGGGGACCTTGGTAATCTCTACCTCAGGAATCAACCCACGGCCCATGATGCCAGGCAAGAAGCTTCCAGAGCTCTGCCCCTCCATTGCCCTCTGTTCCCTCATCCCACCCAGATAGTTCCCAGCCAATCTTGCTGTCCTGACATTCTGCTCTTTCCCCTCTTCTTTCCCACAGGCCAAGTTTGAGTTGATCATGTCTGAGGCTTCATACCTTCGCAGTTTGAACGTGGCAGTGGATCACTTCCAACGATCACCTGAGCTCCAGGCAGTCCTTTCCAATCAAGAACGCCAGTGGCTTTTCTCTCGCCTCCAGGATGTGCGTGACGTTAGTGCCAGGTGGGTCCTGATCTTTGGCTTCAAAGGCCAGCACCCTCTGTGAAGCACAGGTTGAACCCAGAGAGATGAAACACAGAGCTGTAAAATCTGTAGTCCCGTTGTCTTTACTCTGCATGTTCCTCTAGCCACAGGCTGGATGCAGAGGAGAAACAAACATCACCTTTCCTTGCCTTTGTACCACCACAAAAACTTTTATGGCGGCAAAAGCAAAAGTAAATAGATGTTCATACCTTTTGCCGCACTACAAAATGCCCAAATTTGTGGCTGTGATGGATGGTAGCAATTATTTGTGCTGCTTTATTGTGATGAGTGTGTATGCTTTATGGTGGGAGAGCCTGGGCAGCCCAGAACTGCCTGCAGTCTCCAGCCATCCAGGGCAAGGGCTCAGGGGATTGAGGGGCCTGATTCTGTACACTCCTGTAGTTTCTGCACAGATTCAGGCCCCTCAAGCCCTGGGAGAGCCTACTGGCTTCTCCTGTTTACCTTGGGAGATGCACTCCCAGGGTCTCCAGGGCATGTTTTGGTCAGCAGGGCAAGTCAGGGGTGCTTAACAAAATGTGTCCCTGGGATCTCTGGGGTGTGTCTGAATAAAGAAGGCAAGTTGGGGTGCATAGTAAGCAGGAAAAGGCAGGAAGGTGTTCCCAGGATTTGAGGGGCCCAATCCTGTGTGGGAATTCCTGGGCTGCAGAGGACCAGGCCCCTCAAGCTCCAAGAGAATACATCACAGGATCAACAAGTGGGACAGTGGGTGACGTGTTTTGCCCAGCGAAGCAGATCAGCTGTACTGGGACACATCCATCTATTTCCAGCCATAGACACAAATGTCCTGTCCAACCCAGTCCTGCCCAGGAAGGATCCTTGTCACCTCTTTGGGCAAGTGGGTCATTCTAATCTTGATACTCATTCAGTCCTGAGAATTATGGCACATTTCTAGAACCAGAAATTGCAGAAGAGCAAAGCATCCAGAAGGCCATCAGCCATGTCCCAGGTCTGATCTACTGTTGGCTGAAACACATTAGAATCACTGGGATCAAAACCTTAACCTGAACCAAATCCAGCACCAAGCAGACACAAGACCAAACCAGCACCCACTAAGTCCCAAGGCAGTCTAAAACCCCCAGCCGTCATGTGGCAGATCCCACCTTGACTCAATTCAGAATTTACCTTGAATCCAACCTAGCCCTTAGCCCTTTTTTCCCTCCTGCAGAGCTTAATCAACTTCCTTCTGTTCTCTGCTACATTTTTCCAATACAGGATCTTTGCTGTTTTAATCTCTTAGATCCCCCTGGCTCCATGGAAGCTGAAAAAAATCTTTCCTTATTTATTCATGGTGTTTTTGGATAGCCCCCAGATTTATCCTATGGTAGGGACCAAACCAAACACAAACTCACACCAAAACAAGCAGCACCACAACCTTGGTTCTGAGACCTGGAAGTGAAGAGAAATGGTGTGCTTAATGTATAAGCCCTGCATTTGGGACTGAGCGTGGAAGATACACATGTCTATGGCAACAAGGGAAGCCTCCTTGCTTTGTTGAGCAACGCTGTCTACTGCGTGCTTATAACTGTTTCGCTTTCCTTTCATGGCAACACCGGGGGGCTCTGCAGTTTCCTTTCTGACCTGGAGGAGAAGTTCGAGGAGGACATGTTCACCTTCCATGTGTGTGATGTGGCCCTGAGGCATGCCCCAGAGTTTCGCCGGGTGTATCTGCCCTACGTGACAAATCAGACTTACCAGGAGCAGACCTTCCGGAGGCTTCTGTAAGAGCACTGCTTGGCTTTCTCCCCAGCCTTTGACCTTCTTTGCTGCACCAATATGTCCCCTTTGTCAGCCAGGGGAGAGCTGAACAGGTGCAGAGCTCCTCCTGGTGTTCACGGACCGGCAGAGGGTCCCCACCATGCCACAGCAGCTGATGTGGGAGAGGGCAGGGCTGTGCAGCACCATAGCCCTGTCAGTACTGGGCAGAGATGGGCTCATCAGCACCTGGTTCCTTCAGTATCAGAGCTAGGGTTACCATATTTCCAGCTCCAAAAAAGAGGACACCTGTCACATGGGAGGAGGGGGGCATTATATGACTGTGGTGGAGGACAGCAATATGTGGGTGCCCTGCCCCTGCCCATTCCCTTGCCCCGCACTCCCAAGCCACCACCCCCTCCACCAGCCATGCTGCTGCCTCTCACTCCCAACCCACAGCCCCCAGCCTTGCCAGTGCCCCTCACTCCCAAACTGCAGTACCCTGCCCCACCAGGGCATGCTGGTGCCTCTCACTCCCAACCTGCAGCCTCCCCTCATCCCTGCTGGTGCCCCTCACTTCTGACCCACAACCCCCTGGCGCTGCCAGTGCCCCACGCCCCCAATCTACAGTCCCCCATCTCCCCTGGTGCCCCTCGCTCTCAAGCAGCCCTGTCAGTGCCCTTCACTCCCAACCCACACCCCCTGCTCCCCCTAGCCTTGCCCCCACAAGCACAGGCACTGGCTTCAGTGCTGCTGGGCCAGCCACACAGCTCCCTACTGCCCCTGAAGGCCCCTCCTCCCGCCCTCACTGGAGGGGCCGGTGGCTCCCCTGCCCTGTTGCAGCCCCAGATATGCCCCCCCACACCCACACCCTGCCCCCTACAGACTTACCTGCACCCAATTGCTTTGCTGCCCCTACCCCCTTGCCTAGCTACATGCTGGCCATGTGTCTGCACACCTTTCCTCCAGTTGCCCTGCCCCCAGCCCCAAGCAGCTCCTTGCTAGGGCAAGCCAGGAATAGCTGGGAAAAATGTTAAGGCTGAGCAGAGCAAAATTCTGGACATTTGATCATATTAAAAAAAAAAAAAAAAAAAAAAAAAAA